ACATTCTTCTGGTAACATTTTTTTAGCTATCAAAATCCAAAATTTTTGCCATGCTTTTGGTATCCTTTCCTTTCAGATACTTTGAGAAGGAATTATTCAACACACTCAAAAATCTCTTCAAGTGTGGACTTACCTTCCTTATACTTGTTCTAGTTCACTTGCTCTTCCCGTCTTTGTTTTCTTCTATGCTATTAACACTTCTTCATGCAGTACATCTGGTAAACTTCTTGAAAGTAGGGACTGACTGTCTTTTACCTCTTTTTTGTATCCCCAGTGCTTAGCATAGTGCCTGGCACATAGTAGGTACTTAAAAAATGTTCACTGACTGACTGATGTTGAGTCCACTGTTCTTGATGGTGAAAAAAGTGTCATAAAAAAACTGTACATATTTTATCTTTCATCTATTTGTTGTACTTTTGTCAGTTTTTTCTTTAAAAGCCATGGAGATGATTTCACTTCATTGTGGTTTGCACCCATGCAAACTTTCTTTAAATATGTTTGTTATTTTCATTGTTTCTTGCTACTCTATAAAGTGATAATGCTCATAATCTTCTACTACCTTCTTCTATAAGATCTGAAGAATGAGTTTACATCCTAAACCAATATTGTTCTTGGTGATCATCTCTTTCTTGTTAAGGTGATCAAGTTTTTGCTAGAGTTTTCCTCTCTGAAGGTACCTCTCACCTACTCTGAATGTATCTTGTGTATACCTATCAATTTATAGGTTGTCTCCCTAATTAGGATGTAGTCTCTTTGAGTTCGAGGGCTATTTTTGCCTTTCTTTGTATCTCGATCTTAGTGCAACACCCAGCAAATAGTAAAAGGTTATTCAAAATTTGTTGATTTATCCATTAGGTCAGTCAATTTCCAAGCTTTTTTGTCCTTATTATGGCAATGGTTTGTCAATGTTCTTACCATTTCCAATTTTTAAGATCAATAGTTTCTTTAAATAAATCAGCTTATTTTGATTACATGCAGCCATATATTTTTCTCATTTTTGTTTCTCAAGTTTTATGTCAATTGTTCTCTTTGCTCTAACTAGTGATTCTAGAATGATTCCCACATAAATTCCCTGTCTATTCAATTACAATTAACTTCATTTTATTTTGTGCTCTCCATATACGGTGCCTCTCACTTTTTTTCTCAAAGAAAATATGAATAATATCTGTATATAAGCTTTTGTGTAGTTTTCTCTAATTTCTTACCCCCAAACCATATATTCAACATTTTTTTCACTATCTTTCCATATGTCCACCTTTGTACTGAAGTCAAAGAACCTAGTATATTTAGATTTAACTTGAAGTATTTTATCATATCATTCACAGAATTTCTCTATTTCTTCAGTGCCTGAAACAGATGTTAGGACATAAGCTACAATTACTTTTATCAGTATCTTCATAAATGTGTATAAAAAGCTCTGTAATGATAAATAACCAAAAGACCATGAAAAAAAATAAAATGAAATGTTTCTTTTTGCCTCAGAACACACAACAAAACCAACCTGACCAACTAGGTTAATTGAATCATCCATTTGAAAAGAACTTGTAAGCCATCCTTTCATTTAGCTACAACTTCCTTTTCTTTTCTGGCTTCACTTAAGGAACAAATGTCAAGATTCACAAATTCCAGTAGGAATCCCTAGCCCCTAGATAAGGACCTCATATTTAGAGTGCAAACAGTGATGTTTATAAATGCTGTAAAAACTGTCTAATTCATAATAATCTTAGAGAGATTACACCTGTTAAGAGAGGGAAAGAAATGAATATGAAATACTGGAGGGGTAGAACTGACAAAAAATGACAGACAATTAAAATTAGGAGATAAGAGAGATGAAAAAAATCAAAGATAAATCAGTTTTGGAATTGTTGGATTTGAGCAGCTAGAAAGAAATGAAGTTAGAGAATTCCTATAGGTAGCTGCCAATACAAATCAAAATCTTGGAAGAAAGTCCATGGATAAAGAAACAGATCTGTTCATCCTCTGCATAAAGCTGACAGCTGAAGCAATGGCAGAAGGTAAATTGTCAAAGAAGAATTTTTATAGAAAAAAGCAGATATTAAAACTTTAAGAAGAGAAGCTAAGAAAGATAAAACCAGAAGGATGTCTTAGAAACCAAGGGAGAAGAGACTATCTGGATGGAGGTGATAATTAAAAAAAGTAAAATGCTGTATAGAATTCAAAAAAGATGAGTAGTACAACCAGGTCATTGGATTTGGTAAAGCGGTTATTATCAACTTAAAAAAAAACAGTTTCAGTAATGTTGGGAAAGAATACAGATTTCAAAGGGCTTCTGAGGGGAGAGGGAGGAAGCAGTTTACTTCAACAACAACAGGGAACCTTGTAAAACTGAATTTCAGCAAAGCATTTGACATTAATTTTGAGCTACAATAGTATAGTTAGATAGTCCCATAGATCTGTAACTGCCTGCAGGACTAGATCCCAGAAGTAATAAATAACAGGCTGCTGTCCTTTACTTCTTTCCAAGCTTAAGTACCAACTCTTAAAGAAAGTCTTCCCTGATGTACCCTTCTCACTCTCCCCTTTCTTAAATTATCATTTATTTACTTCTCAGTTTACTTGAACAGTAAGTTCATTGAGAGCAGAAGTTGTTTTCTATTTTTGTCTTTGTATCCCTAGCACCTTTTGCAGTGCCTTTATAAATAATATGTACTTAGTAAATGTTTGCTGAGTTGGAGATAGATCTCTAGTGGAATTCCTGAGGGTTTGTACTTCCTTGTTTAACTTATTTATAAATTACTTACATGAAGGCATAGATGGTGTGCTTATCAAATTTATAAATAACATGAAACTACAAAGCACGGTGAATTCAACAGGTAACAGTCAGACTAGAGTACATGAACGAATTTGAGTACAAGTAAATGTAAAATTCACCACTGAGTTTAAAAAAAATCAAATATCTAAGTTTATAATGGAGTATATATTCATGTAAATGATATCCCATTATCTTTATTCCATTTTGTTATAATTGACTAGTATTTTATCCATACTTTAACTGAGAATGCTTTCTAATCATTCTAACCATCTACCATCTTGAGGGTTTTGTACTTCCTTGTTTAACTTATTTATAAATTATTTACATGAAGGTATAGATGGTGTGCTTATCAAATTTATAAATAACATGAAACTACAAAGCACAGTGAATTCAACAGATAACAGACTAGAGTACATGAATGAATGTGAATATGAGTAAATGTAAAATTCACTACTGAGTTTAAAAAAATCAAATATCTAAGTTTACAGTGGAATATGTATTCATGTAAATGACATTCAATTATCTTTATTCCATTTTGTTATAATTGACTAGTATTTTTTCCATACTTTAACTGAGAATGCTTTCTAATCATTCTAACCATCTACCATAATTATTATCTATCTGTAATTCATTTTGGTACACAAATATAAAGTATTTTCCTGAATATAATCAACACCCAAAAAATCACAGGTCTTTGAAATACTGATATGGTCTGTTTGCTTGTGTTTTCTTTGTATATACCTGCATTATTGTATTTTAAGTCTTACCTCCATGAGTGGGTTTCATTCTTTCACTTAACCATAGATTAACCATCAAACCCTGACCAACCCACAAATTTGCTATATTTTACAACATGGTAGATGGGAACAGATTTCCAGATGGCTAGCCAACCAAGGCTTCTTTGAAATTTCAATGAAATAGTATGTCTAGTAAATCATACATTCATAGCCCCTAATACATTGTTAGCACTACTAAAAAAATCATTCAAAGGACATGCAGAGGGTCATTTGCATCATCTTCACAGACAAAGACAGCAATACAGTGAACAGTAACAATTACTATTATTTTTATTAAAATATTCAGTAATTTTAGTTCAAAAGCAATTTATTCACCTATTGTTAATACTTTATGTTTGAGAAACATAGTTGAATCAATAATTCACATATGTCATAACCCAATTTGTATCCAATGGTGCCATTACTCCCCTTCCTTGAAAAATATTTCATTGTCTTTATTACATTTTGTTATAATTATCTTAACTAGTATTTTACCCTTAATTCAAATGAGAATGTTTTCTAATTGTTCCAACTATCTACCATAATTATTTTCTATCTGTAATTATTTTGGTACACAAGCATAAAATATTTTGCTGAATGTAGTCAACACTGTTAACTCCAATCACTAGCATCCTACTAAGCCCTCTTTTTAAGCCTTATAGGTTTTGTCAAAATTTGGTTCCTAAGACTTTAGCCTCTGGTTGAATTTGCTCTTCTGTATCAAGATTATTCCTTAAATTGAATAATTTAATTCTTATCCTTCAGCTTAGCTATAATTTTCCGATTATTTGTCTCTACTGCACATGGAATACATAATTTACATTTTTTTAACTTTTTTTTTCCTGGTACATCTACTAATTCTGGAGAAGGAACATCTACTCCCAGTAACTATTTAACACCTAATGGAAAATAATTACTACTATAGAAAAAAGTTCAATATAAATTAAAGAAAATATGAGCATTAAGTAATTAATTTATTACATTACGCATAACAAGTTTTAAATTACAAATAACAAATTCTTAAATTGTTAATAACTAATACTTACATTATTAAATTCAAATCTCTATCCAAATAATAACATATATACAAGGGGATCCCAAGAAATTTGTAAACGGTTTCTTCTCTTTCTCAATTTATAAAACTACACATAAAATACTTACTGCCTGAGCAGCTGTCTCCCTTGTTTCCACATTAACTGACTATTCTGTAGTGGTTGCACCTCTGTTTCATTGCCTTCATCTGGAAAACATTAAATCATAATGAAATTGATGTTTTATATTTCAGAGGACATCTGAATTTACAATAAAAACAATAAAATTTATAAGATTAAGAATATAAACCAGCAATGATAAAGATTTTAAAAGATCCATGTAAAATCTATTTTAACACCTGGTTTCCATCACTCAACTCTGATATAAAGTTTTTTATTGTTGTTCAACTCTCTTGATAGCACCAGAATTGCAAGAGAGATTTCTTCCCTACCTTAAGCTGGACTGGAGATTTTCTTCCCCAAGAATGAACACTTCACGAAAATAAAATACAAGAATTGTATCAAAAAAGCTTGGCTGGTCTGATAATTTGCTTTCAACAAGATTAAAATCACCAAATTAAAAGTCTGATAGACAAATGAATTTGGAAAACATATTAGAAAAAGACTATGAATATCAGATACTTTCAATTCAAACACATTATGTTCATTAAACTGTCAATTTAAAATCAAAAGCATCACTTTCAAGATGATCCTTGACAAAACATTTATCTTTAGAACATGCATTCAACATTAGGCAACAACTATCACTTTAAAAAACTTTTTTTTATTATGAAGGCAATCATTAACACAAAACACAAAGAATATGAAAGAGGCTTCTATGAGTACCTTAACTTTTGTTTGTTGTTGTTCAGTTGTTTTTCAGTCATGTCTGACTTTTCATGACCCCTTTCATGGTTTTCTTAGCAAAGATACTGGAACAGCTTGCCAGTTCCTTCTCCAGCTCATTTTACAGATAAGGAAGCTGAGGCAAAGAGGATTAAGTGACTTGTCCACGGTCACACAGCTAGTAACTGTCTGGGGCCAGATTTGAACTCAGGAAAAAGTCTTCTTGATTCCAGGCACAGTACTCTAACCACTGCACCACCTAGCTCAGGAGTGGGGAACCTGCAGCCTCAAGGCCATACTGCCACCCATAACCACACATTATACCCTGTCACCAAATAAAGGGGCAGACCCTCATTCCCAACTTACGTATAGTTCAATAAAACAAATTAATACAAATGCTGTTTCTTAGAATGCATAATAGGGGTAAGAGGAGTAAGAAAGGGGCAGCTAGGTGGCACAGTGGATAGAGCACTAGCCCTGGAAACAGGAGGACCTGGGTTCAAATCCGACCTCAGACACATGACACTCACTAGCTGTGTGACCCTGGGCAAGTAACTTAACCCCGACTGCCTCCCCAAAAAAAAGAAAGAAGCACTTTTCCATAATGCTTCTGAAGTGCTAAAGTCTAACATAGTTTTCAAATTATGTCACAGAATGAAAGTGAAAGCATTTTTTTCTAAGCAGTCCTTGATAAAGCAACTTAAAACCATTAACCTTAATTGTCTAAATCACTCAGATGAGGATGGAGTAAGGAAGATTTTTCCTTTTAACTACTAAAGTCTGATCAATATTTTACCACATCCCAAATATTATAGGAATGAGTATATATGCATATACATATATATAATATACATGTAGGTATATGTCTGTGTGTGTATTGAAAAACTAGGCAGTTGCTATCTAATGCCTTCTCTTTCTCTTCTGTCTCTCTCATTCTTTATCATTATTATTATTATTATTATTATTATTATTGTCACCACACTCCATTACCCAAGTTCACAACCTCAGTCAAATTAAGAATCAGACTTTTTTCATTTAAAATGGTTTTAGTGATGCCATTAAGCATTTAGGTGCTCTCTTTCACCACAAATATAAATACTGATATGACTTTATTATCTTCTATTTTTATACTTTGATTTATATTTCTCTAATCATTAATGATTAGGGATATTTTTCATAAGGGTATTGATAGGTTGGATTTCTTCCTTTGAAAATTACCTTTTGACAATTTATCAACTGGTGAATGTCTTTTTTTCTTATAAATTTGAATCACTTCCTTTCCTCTCTCAGAAATGACACCTTTATGCTATAAAGATATTCTTCCCAGCTAACTGTTTCTCTTCTAATTTTAACTGCATTGGTTTTGTTTGTGTAAAAACTTTCTATGTAAAAAAAATTCTACATTTTATCTTCTGTGATCCTCTCTTTCCTTTTTTTTTGGTCATAAATTCTTCTAGCCATAAATCTGAATGGTAACTTCTCTGTTTCTCTAACTTGTTTATGATGTCATCTTTTTCTCTGTATTTGTCATATACCCATTTGGAGCTTATCTTGGGATATGGTATGATGTGTTACACTAAACCAGGGGTACCTAACATGGGATCTATATCTTAAAAAATATTTTTATGTTCTTTGTAACCTTTGTAAGCCTATGCATTTTATTTTACGTATTTAAAAATATTATACCAAAAAGAGGTACATAGGCTTCACCAGACTTCCAAAGGGGTCTATGACATGAAAAAGATTGATAATCCATAATACAAACCTAATTTCTGCCAAAGCGTTTTCTATTTTCCTAGCAATTTTTGTTACAGTGAGTCGTTACTCTAGTAGCTGGGACCTGAGTTTATCAAACACAATTCTATGTTCATCTGATTCTACACATTATGTACCTTTTTTGTTTGATCAACTCTTTTTTTTAACCAGTACGAAATCATTAGGATTATTACAACTTTGAAGTATAGTTTTAGATTTGGTATATAGCTAGAGCCCCATTTTTTTCACTATTCCATTAAGATATTTGATATCTTGTTCCTCCAGATGAATTCCATTTCCCCCTTACCTCTACAAAACATTCCTTTTAGTTTGTTTGGTATGTTGCTTAATAAGTAAATTAATGTTGTTAGTACTGTCATTTTTATAACATTGGCTTGGTTTACTTATAAGCAAATTAATATTTTTCCAACTGTTTAGGTCTGTATTTCTGTAATAAGTGTTCTGTGTTTGCATTTATATATTTCTAGTTTTTTCTGGTTAAACTACCAAATGTCTTATATATTCTATACTTATTTTGAATGAAACTTATTTCTCTTTCGATCTCTTCCGGCTGAGTTTTGTTGATAATATACTTAAATACTGGTGATTTATATGTATTTATTTCATATCCTGCAACTTTGTAGAAGTTATAATTTCAAATAATTTTAATTGCCTTTGGCTTTCTAGATAGTGAGATCTGCAAAAATCAATAACTATTCTATTTACTTATGTTTATTTCTTTAATGATTTTACTGCTATGCCTAGTATTTATAACAATATTTTAAATAGAAGTATTAATAATGGATGTCTTTGCTTTACCCTTGAACTGGATACAAAGGCTTATAATTTCTTCTATTACATAGAAGTGCTCTTGGTTTTGCAGATCTCACTATCTACAAAACCAGACCAGGTTCCAGCAAACCAGAAGCAGCCTTTAGGAGTGACAGAATTAGTAGTATCAGTGATGGTTTCCAGACCTCTCAGCCCACAGTTTATAAGAGGATTAGATAACAGGTCAGAAAGAGTTTTATAGGGGTCCCTTTGCTGGAAGCAGGCAGAGGACTCTGTTGAATTGTCTATACTGGGATCTGGGTCACAGTCGTAGGTCTTAGTCCTAGAGCAAAGAATAGCACTAACACAGCAGAACTTGCAACTGCAGGGGAGCAGGGACCATGGTCACAGTTCCAGGGTTAAAAAAAGTGCTTGTGGTCCCTCACAAACCAGTGTACAGTAAAGAAGAGTAGTAAACACACCTTTCCCTAGATCATACCACCTTGGAAGAGACAAAAACTTACAAGTCTCCAAAATTACCTCTGAAAACAGTTGCACAAAACACATGAAACTTACAATGCCCCCTCCACTTGGGAAGCAGAGCCCCACTACAGCATAGAGTTAAAAGTCAAGAAACAGGCTGGAAAATGATCAAACTACAGAAAAAATTCTGACCACATAAAGTTACAATGGTGACAAGGAAGATCAGAACACACACTCAGAAGAAGACAACAAAGTGAAAATTCCTGTATCCAAAGCCTCAAAGAAAAAATATTAATTGATCTCAAGACATGGAAGAGTTCAAGAAGGATTTCAAAAATCAAGTAAGAGAGGTAGAGGAAAAATTGGGAAGAGAAATGAGAGTGATGGAAGAAAATCATGAAAAAAGAGTCAACAACTTGGTAAAGGAAGCACAAGAAATAGTTAAGAAAATAACACCTTAAGAACAGAATATGCCAAATGGTAAAGGAGGCACAAAAATCCATGGAAGAGAAGAAAGCCTTGAAAAGCAGAATTGGCCAAATGGAAAAAGATTTACAAAAATTCACTGAAAAGAACACCTTAAAAAGTGGAACTGGCCAAATGGAAAAGGAGGTACAAAAGGTCACTGAAGAAAATAATGCCTTAAAAGTTAGAATTGATGATAAATGGTCAAAGGATATGAACAGACAGTTCTCAGATGAAGAAATTAAAGCCATCTATAGTCATATGAAAAAATGCTCTTAATCACTATTGATTAGAGAAATGCAAATCCAAACAACTCTGAGGTACATCACACCTATCAACATGACAAAACAGGAAAATGATAGATGTTGGAGAAGATGTGGGAAAATTGGAACACTAATGCATTGTTGGTGGAGTTGTAAAATGATCCAACCATTTTGGAGAGCAATTTGGAACTATGCCCAAAGGGCTATAAAAATGTGCATACCCTTTGACCCAGCAATAGCACTTCTAGGGCTATATCCCAAAGAGATCACACAAATGGGAAAAGGACCCACATGTACAAAAATATTCATAGCAGCTCTTTTTGTGGTGGCAAAGAATTGGAAATTGAGAGGATGCCCATCAATTGGGGAATGGCTGAGCAAGTTGTGGTATATGAATGTAATGGAATACTATTGTGCCATAAGAAATGATGAACAGGCTGACTTCAGAAAAACTTGGAAAGACTTGTATGGTCTGATGCTGAGTAAAGTAACCAGAACCAAGAGAACACTGTACACAATAACAGCCAGCTGTGCGATGACTAATACTGATAAACTTAACCCTTCCCAGCGCTACAGGATCTAAGACATCTCCAAAGGCCTTGTGATGGAAAAATGCTATCCACGTCCAAAAACTATGGAATTTGAATTGCTATTTTTTTTTCTCTTCTGTTAAGTTTTGTTTTCTCTTTCTGGTGGTTCCTCCTATTGGTTCTAATTTTTACTTACAACATCACTAATGTGAAAATATGTTTAATAGGAATGTATATGTATAGCATTTATCAGAAAGTGCGCCATCTTGGGGAAGGTGGTGGGGAGGAAGGGGGAGAAAAATTTCAAACTCAAAAGCATATGGAAGTGAGTGTTGATAAATCAAAATAAA